GTGTGACAGGGAAGACTTGACAGGAATCTGAATCAACTACTCAGGAGGAAGCTAGGTGAATTATTTTGGTTGTTACAGAAATCATTATATGTTTTCTGTTTAAAAAAGTTAGATCCTTTACGGAGTTTTTCAGCAGTACTGGAACTCATCCTTTTATTTTTCCATTTGTACAGCTTGATGCTTTATTTACGATCTCATAACTAGAACTAGGATTACTGCTGTTTCTATTTTAAGATACTTGTAAAATCAATCAGGCAATCTGTAATGTGTTTGGTCTAATTTATATTAGGGTAAATCAGCAAGATTAGGAGAAAAAGTGAGAGATTGAAAGGTAAAGGACTAAATACAACTTGCAAGGTAAATGATAAGCTATATTGCATCATCATCATCATATGGAGAAAGTGCTTGTACAAACATCTCAGCTTACACTGTCACCCTCTGGGGTGTTAGTTCATGACTTGAGATGATTAAAATGACCAAATATTTGACAAAGCATTTTGCCTGCATCTAGCACCATTTAAATACCTTTTAGTTACAGAAACTACAGGGAAGTACTCCTTCCTCTAAAACTTTCCACATTTGTGCTGCTGTACAACACATAGCACCCTGCTATCCCCCAGTGTGGAAAGAAGAGACTGAATGGTATATACTTACCCCTCTTTCATTAAGTACTTTAAATGTCTATGGATGAAAGATTAAAAATGTCAGGTCCAAGCGTTACTGTAGATGACTTGATTTTTACAGGGGAGTTTTCCTTTTCCTGATTTTATCCCTGTCGCCTGCTTTTTGCTGTCTGATGAAGGCTTGTTTCTGTGTCACCTAGCAACAATGTCATGGTGTCCAGGAAAAGCGGAGGCTGAGCAGGCGGTGTTAAACCCCGTGGCGCTCCCACCCCTAAGCTTCTCAGCCGGCTACTGAAGTAACCCTTCAGTAGTATGGGGTCTGCACGCTGATCTAGGAGGAAACCACTGCGTGAACACAAGTCTGGCTGCCTTTGAAGCCTTCTGTTGTTACATATACGCACACGTCCCTCAAAATATCATCTTCTCTCTCTGCTCCCTGACACAGTGGAGTCTGTCACTGAAACACCAACCTGGAGTAAAGCAGGAGATGTCTTGTATTTTTGGGGAAACCAGAGCCAAAATCTTCTGCACTATGACCAGGTAAGAGATTTTTACCTGTAAGTCTTGAATTCAAGTCACACAGTAGATTTATTTTGGCTGTTCTAGGGTTCTCTCAGCTTTCTTCCCTGTGCAGGAAGATTGACCAAAAGTAGAGAATGAAAGTGGGGAACAAAATCACAACCCCTTAAAGCAAACTAAACTGTCTGACTGGGTTTAAAAAAAACATAATTAATGTTTCTAAAATGAGAATAAATATTTATGTCCTCTTTTTGGTGAAACTGTTAACTAGACTTTATACAAAACTACCAGAGCATTTGCAACAGTAATACTAAAATAATTATGACCTCAAACAGTTAAAAAGCTTGGTCACACAATTTTATGGAACATTGTATTAACTAAGATTTATATAGGGATGAAGTTTGTCATTTTCCATAAACATTTATTAACTTAAAGAATGTTTTAAAAGTAATTCAGCAAGGCTGTCTATAAATTTTTTTCAAAACCAAACAAAAACGAACAAAAACATTCTTACATGCATACACATGCATTTCCTGCACACTGAGGCCGCAGATCTTTTAAAACGGTATTCTGATTATCTGTCTGATTATCTGTTCTGTCCCTGATTTGAAGTGACTCTTCATAAAACAACTTTTTAAAATTATATTTTTAAACTAAGTAATTTAGCTAAATTACAGTCCATATTCCTAGTTCTTATCACTCTAATCTCAAACTCTGAATCAATTTTTTTTTAAACAGTTGCCTATATTGCTGAATCTCAGGAACAGACAAAGTATCCCAGCAGCAGTCTCATCACAGCTGAACACAGTAACACTGATACAGTCTCCTTACTGATATTAAAGGATTTCTGGTTTATTTATTTTGCATAAGTTATATAAAACTTAGTTAAACATGCTTCTGTAACTACTTCTAAGAACCCTAAGAAAATTGTATGCATTTGTCCATTCTACTGAATTGCTCTTACTTGTTACTGGGAGCTGTTGCTTATTAGCCTAATTTTTATTCCATATTTACACTCTTAAAAACAATACTGAATCAGTCCTTATCATGTGTGAGTAAACGTTGCAAACTCTATACTTTAAAATACATACAACTGAGCAGAAATTAAAGATAATGTCTTGTGAACACTTAATTTTCCATATATTATTGATTCTGTTTACTATATATAATCTATAGGTAGACTCTATGAAGATAAATGTATATGCTCACCTATACACAGGCTATAAATATGCATTTTCTCACTATTGTCACCTGCATATATGATGGGTGACAAAGACGTATAGAACTGTAACTTAAGAAACTAGCAAACTGACTTTCAAGGAACCCCGAGTCCTAGGAAGAACTTTCCAGCTACAGAGGGCTTATGCATCTGTGATTGCTAGCCTAGCCCAGCACTTAAAAGTACGATCAGCACAGAAGCTATAGGTCTTCAATAGGAATGCCCTTTTCATGTCATGGTTTAGAGAAAATTCAGCTTAATAGAATGGTTAGAGAAGGCTGCATATTAGCAATGAAAAGAATAGATCACTCTGCTATAGTCATCACAGAATCCTTCAAAAAATTTTTTTAATGTCCACAGGAAAAAAAATTCCTCTTGTACTTCCAGTTTCATCTTTAACTTCCTCTGCTTTCTGATCTCTGCAAATGAATGTAGAGACCACTGAGGCTGGGCCTTAATACAGCTTACCCGAGAATTAATCAAAATTAATTCCAAAACGGCTAGAAGGTTTGGACTAACTCCTAATAGGAGCTTCCATAGCAGCAATAAAGGACAACAGGTCAGCTTTCTGTACAAGGAAACAAAACATCTCAAGACATTAAAACATGCTTGTACAAACTATCTTATAAAAAAGGCCCATAAGCATAGGAGGGGAGAGCAGGTGGCAGGAGAAGTGAGCAGATGACCTAAAGAAAGAAGACTGAGAAAAGAAAAAACTATTTCTTTCCATATGCAGTAGATTTAAAATAGGTCTGACAAATTATACACCTGGTACTGGTACACAGGACAGGTAATGAAAGACAAATCAGTAAGCAAGAAAAAAAATTAGTCATATAACACTAACAGCACTAGAGATCCTTCAATACATCAGAATAGTCATTGCAAACATTTTTAATACTGTCAAATTACTAACGCTTCTATGCATGCATGCTGTTATGCTAAATGATTAACTATCACTTCTCTCTCCAGCCATCAATCTTCGCCAGAACGTAACAATGCTGTAGGTGACCATGCAAGATCCCTCAAACTTTATTTTTTTTGCCCTGTCAACTGGATTTATCTCTTTATACCCAACTCCTATATGTAACCCCCTATTAATTCAGTCTGCAGATAAATGCTAACATTTTAAAAAGACAGGCCTCAACAATAAACACACAGCGTTATCTCAAGTTGTTGTCATTTATTTGTGAGTTATTCTCAAGCAATGTTACAAAACATTTTAATGTCTTGATAAGAAAATAAAATTTAAATAAAAATACATTCAACAATACATAGTAATACAAATTAAAACGAATGATAATTTACAATCCTAACAGAACTAATTACTGAATAACATCATCTTCCTAGACTAATCAAAATGAAGGCAACTTTTATTATTAATTATCCTACTTGTACCTAATTAAATTTAAGAACATCTACTGCATTTTAAAACATTATAAAATGAGAAATCAAATCCTAATGGTCACAAATATTCAATGGCCTTTGTTTTTTTTCTAGATATTCCAGTACCAGAGCAAAAAAAGTGCATATTTTTTTTTAAAAAATGTTGCAAGAGTATACAATTTAATTTTTCCTAAATTTGACTTTGAAAACAACAGAAAATGGCTCCAAGGAACAGACACCTTGCCACAGGGTTAATCCATATAAAGCAAAACCTATCTTTGACATTCAACCACATTCAACTGTTTAATGGCAGCTTTTTATTAATGGCAATTAATCAGACCCACTTTACCTTGGCAAAGCACATTTCTTGGCATTATTATATTTTCCCCCTCCCCCAATTTCAACTGTTGGCAAATAAAGTCCCTTAGAATACATCAATGTGTAAAAAAGGAAAAGGCAAAACCAGCCGAGCTGATTAAATGATTGTGACATTGCAGACACTAGTACTGAATCCTGGATATTTTAAAATAGTTTGTCTGGTATTAAACCAAATAGTTTTTCTGACAAGTTACATTCATTCCAAAAGAGATTTCAATCCTGTCTTGCCAACTTGCTTCTATTATAGAAAGCCTCCCTACAACAGTTTAATAAATGTAATTTAAACAGCTTACAGTTTCAAGCATTATTGATTTCTATTCTATTTGTAAGTTACATTCCTAATTAATTTGGCCAAATCATGATTGTAAAAAAACCCCCAAAACCAAAGAACACCCAACAAAACAACAAAAGCCCCACAGCAAATGCTCCAAAAAAGAAGTACCACATATAGTTATTATTAAAGATAATATTCCAAGGAGTACCATTGTATTTAATACTGATGAAGCAAAGTTGCCACAGTAATATCTTTGCTTCTTCCTGGTTATGTACATATATGTTCTTTCAGCATAAACCTAACTTCTCAGACGAAGTGAGCAAAAATTAATCTTACTGGAGTCAAGAATGACAGTTTAAAATTGTGTTAAGTGGCAAATATGAATCCATATAACTAAAGATATAAAAATATTCACTGAAGCATTGCTTAAAGACAAAAGAATGTTGATCATTCAACTGATCATAACAAGCAGATACTACAAAGTATCTAAAAATAATCTGGGATAGTCCAGATATCTAAAGTGCTTTGAGTGATTATAATAGAGATTATTTATTAGATTTGTAGTCAAAAGGTGAGCTGGACCTAGTTATTACTTTTTATAAAAAAAAAGAAATAAAATCATACATGGGATGATGTAAATTGATCAGTACTTAACCACAATCTGTTCACATTTTAATTTTCCTATCTGTACTCAAACTTATTTAAAAAGAAAGTTGTTACCCTGCATTTCTTTTTAGATTAAGAAAAAATACGTACCTTAAAAAAAACCTAAAGAAAATAGATAGTGGTCTAATGTCACTCCATATATTACTCACCCCAAATGTAAACAAGACATACAACATAAGTTCCCTGATTTCTTCTTCTTTAGTACTTAAAAACATAACTAACACTGGTATCTGCTGTCCAGATTATTTGCAACATACTGCATGATTTTGTAAGACTTCATCTGTAGATAAATCAAGTCCTGACAACACCTAATATATGGAAAAAAGTCAAAACGAATTGAGTGTGAAGCTTCAGATCTCTTCCATGTCATAGTATCTCGGGATTTCTATTTCAAGATCCCTATCAGCAGGGCAGGCACTCATGGTAAACTCATGCAAGTTTGCAGTGTATATATTGAGAGATGTAACTCAACCAACAAATGCCATGTGGATTTACTTCCATTAAAAAGCTTATTTGTTTAGAAAGTTCTTTCCAATAAGACAACAATGGCAAAACAACATTTAGATTTATTCACAGCTTTTACTTCAAGAACCTGGAACTTCAAGTTCTTCAGCAAAATGAGAATAAACCTTAAGACCAGATTTCCAAGTACATATTTTTTCTATTAAATATTAAATAGATTGTCAACACAACTAGCATTTACGTTCATTCTTAAATACTTCGTAAAAATGTATATAATGAATTAAAAAAACCAAACCAAACCAAAACAAAAAACCAAAACACTCAAGAACATTTCCAGTTTCTTTTTTCATCCAAGTGTGCCACAGTTTGTTTTGGTTAGGAAACTTTTCCAACAATTGGATTTTCTCTGGAAAACATAAAATATATGTAAATATTTTTTAAAGTTAACATTTGCTTTCTAGTTCTCATCAACAATTTTAATTTATAAAACAAACCTGTATTTTTTGCATAATTTCTACCACTAGTGAAATTTCATGACTCGCAGAAAACCTCACATAGTTACATGTGAGACCTCTAAATCAAAGTTAATTTTTCTAAACAATTTGGGTCAAATACTAAACTAGGCAAACCAAATTGGGGTTTGAGCATTCTTTTTTTCTGGTGAAGTAAGCCTTACTGATGCAAAGAAGAAATAAGAAAACTTAATAGTGGTATTCCATAGATACCAGCCAGGACTGAAAAGAATTGAAAGAAACTGCTCTGGAACAACAATGTACCCCAAAGAAAAGAGTTGGTTTTTTTTAACTTCACCAGAAATAGTATTTATCACTGAGTATGGCGAGTGAATTGCAAGCAGTAAATACACTGCATGAAAGATGTTTCTGCAGTGTAATTTTTACAGTTTTATATAACTTGGTATTTTAATTATTTCTTAACTGAAATTTGAAATAAAAAAATAAATTAGAAGGCAGGCAGACAGGGATAAATTTTGTGTGAACTTCAGATGTTAAGTTGCAAGGAAATGAGAGAGTTATTACACCCACTTATGGGAATCTCAACAGGAACACAAATGAATCCCACACCAGAAGAACTTCTTGTATCTTCTAACAACTAGCAAAAAGCTGCATTACTACATATTATGTACCTTATTTTCTCCATGTCTTTGTGTTGTCTAAATCTACCTTCAGCTTAATTATCTCTACCTCAACAAGCCTGTTCCTGTTCTGCGATTTATTTTTTTAAAAAGTACACATTTACGTATGTCAAAATTATGTAAGATACTTACTCACTACCATATTTAGCACTAGATGATCTCTTCTTTCGGTATTTTTCATGCGATTCATTCAGCTTTTCTATTATATCTATTATCTGTTTAAGTGTATGAAAAGTGGCTACAGAATCTTCAATTGTGAAGTTAGAATAATCATCTGGTTCCTTCCGTGGACCTTGATAGACTGCCATACTTCCGCAAGCCTCTACAAAAATTACCACAATTAATCCCAATTAGAATTTCAATAATTAACAAACAGATCTAACTCTTAGAGGGTGATTCTGAAATTGTGAAATGTAAAGTTACTCTAGCTTGTGCATAAAATGGGTTAAGACAAAAGCAGAAGACAGTATCAACTAGATGTATTTACAGTTCTGTGGCTTATTCTCTGCTGGTGGTGTTCAGCATCTTGAGTATTCAGCTCCCTCCTGTTCACATTAACAGAAGACCAATGCGTTCTTGCAACTCAACCATGCTCATTAGAGTTCACTCCAATAGTCCAAAAAAGGAGAGCAAAGACAGAAGAGCAACCAGCTATAGTTGCAGTCTCTCTGTTTAAACTATTAAAGGTATTTCATATATGCAAATTCAATTAGAACAATGTGCATGCTTGATGTCTACCACAAAGAAATGACTGGAGAATGTCTGATACCAGAGCACTAAGATGACAAAAATATAATCCATGCATCTACCCTCCATTATTTTTCAGGTAAATTGTTAAGATACCAGATTAACATTATGGGCCTAAAGAATTAGAGCTGACTAGTATCAATGTAATTCTTCTGAATTATTATTTGAGTACCTTCCAACTTCTGTAGTTTAGACATGTTGATAGTGAAAAATGAGTAAA